GAGCTAATGGACCAAGCAATGTTTTAATTAATATAGTTTCTGTGTGGTTATTTTGGTTCTTAGCGGCTGGGATGAACAAGCGCCCTTCCTCCAACAGTCTCTGCCCTATCCAACATGGTAGAGGTACATTCACTCTTTCTGTGAGCCATGCTCACTGCCCCAGCTCCAGAGATTCAGTGGGCTTATTTTACCATTGAGTGACTAGTAGCATGCTGCTCACAAACCCCATTTAAGTACAGGACCTCCTGAAAAGTCAGAGCCATTCATGCTACCAACACGGACCAGGAAGCCTTCCCTTAAAGGAGCCATGCAGTTTTTGCTGCTAATGTTGAGCCAGAAAGCCTTCTCTTAAAGGATCTGCATCTCTGCTTGTAGCCAGCAAACAGAATCTATCTTTTAAAAAAAATGCAGCTACCAAGAGGCCCTGCTTGGCTCCCGTTTGTACGGGTCTAGAAGCCCTCTTTTTTTCTTTCCTTGAGCTTTCTTTTTTTAGATCTTATGTGGACCCATGCCCCAGACAGTGGGCACCATTTTGTAAATGGAGATTGCTTGTTCGTTTCCCAGCCACCCAGACCCAAATAATCACACAGAAACTACATTAACTACAACACTGTTTGGCCTATTGGCTCAATATTCTTATTAAGTAACTCTTACATCTTAAATTAACCCATTTCTATTAATCTGTGTACCACCACGAGGCTGTGGTTCCAGGATGTCTTTCTCCTTTGGCAGCTATATGGCATCTCCCTGACTCTACCTACTCTCTCTATATATCTCTTTTGAATTTACTGCCTGACTCTATTCTGCCCTGCCATAGGCTGAAGCAGCTTCTTTATTAACCAATAGTAGTAAAGCATATTCACGGCATACAGAGGGGAAACCCACATCAGTGAACGCGTGGACACACATCACAGGCTGCAACGTGCAGGTCAGAGAGCAACTCTGCGGAGTCAGTATCCTCTTCTACCTTTACTAGGATTCTGGGGAATCAGTCTCGGGTCATCAGGCACACATAGTAAGCCCCTTTACAAATGGAACTACCTTTCAGGCCTTTAACTTTTTTTTATAGGATTAAATGAGATGATGAGAAATGTAGGCACTTAGCACACTGACAGTTCAATGCTCAATGTTGTTTGTTTATCTTTGGACATAGGTCTTGCTAGGGAGTCTAGGCTAGTCTCATGCTCATAACCCTCCCTCATTGTCCCCAGGTGTTGGGATTATAAGTGTGGGCCCTCATACCCATCTTCAATTGCTGATGTTAAAAACAACTCATTATTACTATTTATTATTGTTGTTATTATTGTTACAGTACTGGGCACTGAGATCAGGGCCTTATGGATGCATTTTATCATTGAGCTGCACTCCATGCTGATATTATCAATCTTAATATTTCATAATGCCTCCTGGCTGCCTGCACAGGGTAATCGTAGAGTCTATGAATGGGGATGCTGTATCCCAGAACCCCTGCCTCTACACCAGTGGTTTTCAGTAAGCAATCATTACTCCCAGGGGATGCTAACCATTATTTGGATGGATTTTAAAACAACAGTACGTATTTTCCCCTGAGATCTGGTGGGTGGAGATTAGGGATGAAGCTAAGCATCTCAGGGTAGACAGGGCAGCCCCTGCCATGAAGTTTCTACACTGAAGGTAGAGAACTCTTGAGGCACGCTATGCCCTGCATGTGAGTGTCAGTCCAGGTTGTCCTGAACTCTGTGGAATGCTACATCCTGCCCCTGGGTATCAGACTTGGGAGCAGCTGGCACTTCAGCCAGCTCCTGACTTCCAAAAGGTGCAGTCCACAGACCACGGTCTTGGAATCCTCATCCTGCAGGTGGGTAAGCCTGCCTTGTCTGTGGTGTGCCATTCTCTGAAGGCTGAGATTCTTGGGCAAGGATAACCTATTTTGATCACTTCCCTTCCTCCAGACAAAGAAAAACCATCTCAGCCTGGCGTTTCTCAAGTGGTTTGACTTCTTGTTCTCTCCCATTGCTCAAGAAGTCACCGAGGCCCCAAAGCCACCATTTGATGCTCTGCCGAGCCAAAGAGGCAGGGAGGTTGTCTCAGCATCTTCCCATTGCCCCTGATGCTCTGGCCTCTGCCCCCAGTCTGATCCTTTGAGACAGTCCTTCACATGTATGACAATCAGTGGGATGACTTGGTTTTATGCTTCCCTTCATGCTGAAGATAGACATCATGCCTGCCTCTGTCTGTGACACACTGCTTCTGTGGGCCCAGTGTGGGGTTAGGGATATCAGAAATTTACTTGTGAAAGGTTCAAGGAGGAGGAGGAGGAGGAGGAGGAGGAGGAGGAGGAGGAGAGAGAGAGAGAGAGAGAGAGAGGGTAAGGAGGATAGATACAGAGATGAAAGAAAAAAGAAGGAATAGAGAGATCAAATGTTAATGAAAAGGGAGAGAGGAGAGTTGAAGTGCAGTCTGGAGCACCATAAGGGAGGTGTGGGGGAGAAAGGGAAGGAAAAGATGGAGACAAAGGCAAAATAAAAGAGGGAATGAGGGACCAGCTGAGATGAAATGAGAGAGAAGTGTGTGTGTGTGTGTGTGTGTGTGTGTGTGTGTGTGTGTGAGAGAGAGAGAGAGAGAGAGAGAGAGAGAGAGAGAGAGGAAATGAGAACTCAAAAGCACAGGGGAGAAAATCTCACTGAGGTCTCAGTGCCTGTGTTGGGAAGGGGGAGGAAGCTGGAGCTGGGATACAGGAGCGGTTTCCATGGAGATGAGAATGCACCAGGAGTGAGCAAAAACAGACTACAGTGGGGCCAGCCACTCTGGCACCTAGGGAGAGGAGGGCTGGGAAGCAACTGCAGGGAGGGTGTGTGTGTCTGTCCCCTATCAGCTTCTAACCCTACTCCTGCCTTTCGCTGGAGAATCTGAGCCCAGGGATGGAGATACAAACAGGGCATGTAGGGAGACAGACATTAAAGTCTCCTCCTCCTCTTCCTTCTCTTTTTCCTCCTCTTTCTCCTCCTCCTCCCTTCCAATCAATGACAGAGCACCAAAGGGCTTAGTCTCATGCCTACTTTTTGATTTCAACAATGTCTAACACCAGAATTTCAATGCCCATGGGGGCCTGAAGCTTCCATGGTTAGTCTCCAGCTCCTGTTGTCCCCTAGGGAGTGGGGGTCTGCACTTGATTCTTCATCTGTATGCCTAGGTGTATCTTCAGACTATTTAGTTCTCTGGCTCTCCTGGCTTGGTTCTGCTGCAGAGCAGGGTGTTTCCTTGATGCCCGTCAAGGGGGTGGGATTATTGTCTTGGAAACTGAAGGCAGCTCCAGTAGAACGAGAGGTTGATGGCAGTGTTGTTGGGGACATTACATCAGACATGGAGGATGGGTATGGGGTGGAATCCAAGTTTCAGAACTCTGGGGAGGGAGGAGCCTGGCGCTTAGGGAGCACTCCCTTGTACTGGAGCTGGGGGAAGGAGTGTCAAGGCTCTTGCCTCTTTCCCACTGTGGGGACCGGATAGGCCACATATAGTGACAGAACTGAGAACAACCAAACCTTGTCAATGCTGTCATCTAATAACCAGGTCGAGCCTGGAGGTGTCAAGGGTCACACAACTCAAACAGCTCTGCACAAGCTGCAGACCTAATACATGGGGGGAGGGGACTGAGCAGACCAAGCCTTCCCAGTTGCCTATTGAACCCAAAGCCTCTGATTGGCCTGCTATGGGGCCTGTGCTGCCCTCCTAGTCAATCACTATCACCAAAGGAATGCAGTGAGATGATTGGCTCAGACTTGCCCCTCCCCCTCCCAACCTAGGCTGGTGAGAGCTTGGTAGAGTAACCCAAGTGAGTGGATTGGACAAGGGAGCTATTTAACAGGGCCATCATGGCCCACCCTTTCTTCTTTTATCTGTCTCGCCTCACCTGAAACCTATTGCATTATTTCCTCATTTGTGTGATTATTAATTTTGTTATGACTAAGGTTTTTGTTTTGTGTGGTTTTTTTTTTTTTTGAGATGGTGTCATGTTGGCTAAACTGGCTTTATAACTGCTATTGATGGCCCTGAATTATTTTATTTTATGAGCGTGAGTATTTTGCCTGCTTGTGTGCATGTGTACCACATGAGTACGGTTCCTATGGAGGCCAGAAGAGGGTGTCGGATTTCCTGGAACTGAAGTAACAGACAGTTGCCAACTGCCTAGTAGGTGCTGGAAACTGAACCGGGATCCTCTGCAAGAGCAGCTGGCGCTTGTTAGGACGTGTTCTGATATCAGCAGTAACATTATGTGGGAGTTGCTGTGCAAAGCACTTAGAGGCTCCCTGTCATCTTTACTTCACTTGGTGGTACTCATAATCACCCCCGTTTTACAGATTTGGAGACTGAAGCACAAAGACAAAGGAAATGAGGCCCACAAATCTTGCAGAGAGCTGGGCCAGCGTTTGAGCCCTTACCTTTGTGCTGCAACCCTCCCTCCTCTCTCCCTACCTGGGTGCCTCCCTGAGCTCTGCTCTAATGCCCAGCACACAGTAGACCCTCAGCAATGAATGACCAAGTTAGCACCATGGCTCCCATTCTACAGAAGGACCTCCCTCTCCCAGACACAGCTGGAGGGAGGGAAGCTCTGGGGAAACCTTTGTGTCACCCTTTGCTGCCTGCAGAGCGTCTTTGAATGAATGCAAAGTGATTGTCAGGGAACCATTGTCGAATGAATAACAAAAGAAAAACCCAAACCAAAGCCAGATTTACAAAAACTGAAGTGCTGAGGATGGGTAAGAATAAGTCGAACCCAGAGGATGTCAGGGGATGTGGCCTGGCTTTGGTATTTTCTTATTCCTTGAAGGCAGGGTTAGGCAGGAGAGGTCAAGGGTCCCAGTTACTGTATTTTCAGAGTTACAAAGTGATCAGATTGCTAGATGCGGCTGGGGGAATTCTCAGGACTCAGCCCCCTCCCACCTCCTCGCTTCTAGGAAGTAATGATGCCTTCTCTTTCTTCCTGACCCGACCTCGGTGTGGACCTGCTCCCCCATGCCCAGCTCTGTGCCTCGTGTTGGGCTGCATGATCTTCCCTGATGGCTGGGACGCCGAGACCATCCGGGACATGTGCGGGGCCAAGACGGGGAAGTACTCCCTGGGGGACTGTTCGGTGCGCTGGGCGTACATTCTGGCCATCATCGGGATCCTCAACGCGCTCATCCTGTCCTTCCTCGCCTTCGTGCTGGGCAACCGGCAGACTGACCTGCTCCAGGAGGAGCTCAAACAGGAGAACAAAGGTACGTGCCTGGACCTGAGGGTAAGGCCTGCTTCAGGCGGGGCAGGTCAATCATAGGTAAACATTTAAAAGTGAAGCAAAAATTACAGCCAGAGGCTGGAGAAACGGCTCGGCTGTGAAGAGCACTGGCTCCTCTTCCCGAGGAGCTGGGCCCATTCTCACCTGCATGAGGCCACGGAAGGGGCTTTAACTCCAGTTTACCGCCCTCTTCAGGGCTCCGGCGCTGCACACACGATGCACGTTTTTTATTTTTATTTTACGTGTATGGGCGTTTTTGCATCTCAAGCAAAAACGCCCATACACGTAAAATAAAAACTTAAAAAAATGATTTAAAAAGTTACACATAGGAACGATTAAGATGGTTCAACAGGCAAAGGCACCTGCTACCACGCTTAATGACTGAGGTCGAGCCCCAGGACCTACACAGTGGAAGGAGACTCCCGCAAACTGTTCTCCAGCTTAGACACACACAGCCACCCTGAAAGTAATTAGACAACAGGAATTGAAGCTCAGAGGTAGTGGGCATCATCCCATGCCCGTGGCTGTTGTTGTATTAGGAGCCGCGGGCTAAGTTCCTGGCACCCGGCGCCCACACTGTTAGCTTTACCGGAAATAACAACACACAAATGTATTCATTTAAACACTGCCTGGCCCATTAGTTCCAGCCTCTTATTGGCTAGCTCCTACATATTGATCTAACCCATTTCTAATAATCTGTGTAGCCCACAAGGTGGTTTACCAGGGAAGATCTTAACCTGCATCTGTGTAGGGTGGTTCTCGACTGCCTGACTCAGCTTCTTTCTCCCAGCATTCTGTTCTGTCTACTCCGCCTACCTAATTTTCTGTCCTATCAGGCCAAGCAGTTTTCTTTATTAGTTAACCAATGAAAGCAACAGATAAGATACAAGACCCACCTCCATCAGGCTGTGACTGTGAAGTGACAGAGAGCTGTGTTTTATTAAACCCTATAATATGTGTTTATAATATATCTAATAATTTATAAAACTTTATTCAAATGTATAATAAATATATTTATTAAAGACAAAGAGCTAATGGGGCTGGAGATAGCTCAGTAGTTAAAAGCACTTACAGCTCTTGCAGAGGACTTGCGTTTGGTTCCCAGCACCCATGTTGTGGCTCCAGCTGCTGAGGGGCCAGTGCCCTCTTCTTGCTGCCATAGGCATCATGTGTCTGAACACATGCGGCTTACACTAGCACATACACACACATAAATAAAATTTAATTTTTTAAAAAAAAATAAATGATAGCCGGGCGGTGGTGGTGCACGCCTTTAATCCCAGCACTCGGGAGGCGGAGGCAGGCGGATCTCTGTGAGTTCGAGGCCAGCCTGGTCTACAAGAGCTAGTTCCAGGACAGGAACCAAAAGCTACGGAGAAACCCTGTCTCGAAAAATCCAAAAATAAATAAATAAATAAATGATAACTACAGACTATAGGGGGTGGTTATCAGGTTGGGTCTGAAGGAGAAGAATCTGGGCCATGAGATCAGAGCTTGTAGTATATGCAAATTACCAATGGTCACAGCTTTGATATGGAATGGTGGCCAATCACAAATTCATTATACCATGTTGTATAATTGGTGCATATTAATGCACCGATATTGTATATTGGTTGTATATCGTGCATATTGATGACAATAATACAACAAAGAGACAATTCAGGGCCATTGAGATGGATGGCTATGAAAGCCTCATAACCCCACTTTGATGCCCAGGACCGACTCCCATGGGCTGTACTCTGACCTCCACACACCCTCACTCACACACAAACATAGATAATAAACTTCACTTAATTCAAAAGAGTGCACAAGTTGAATGACGGTTTATTTAATTCTTCTTCCTGTAGGGAGGGTCCAAGGTTTCCTACTGCTGCTGCTTTAACACACTCATGTCCAAGTGAGTTCTTGGGGTCTCCAGAAGTGAAATGTAATAACAGTACCAGATAATCAAAGGGCTGAAGCCAAGCAGGGTCTTCTGACAATGATGTCAGCCTACTGCTAGTGCCCAGAGAGGCGTTACTATGGTGAACGTTTGTGTGTATGGCCACACAGTCCTTAGACTGAGATCCAGAGTAGTGGCTTCTACAGTCCGGTCTATGTCTAGCAAAGCCATTCACTATAGTCATTTCTTGCGGATTTGGCTCACCATACAATGGGATTAGATGAGACAGTGTATCCAGCCTCGTATCCACTCGTCTGGTAGGGGCCCTGTTGTTGTGCTTGAAGTCTTGAATGGTGAGCACAGATTATAGAGAAACCAGGTCGCTTCACCTCAAGCTTCAGTTTCCCGCGCTTCATAAAACCGGGGTGATCAGAACAGATTCGTGTCCCAAGATGGGCTTTTGAGGGGAAAGTTTGTGCCTGCAAAGTGGCCAGCAAGGGCTGACACTTTCCTCAAAGCGGTCAGACCTCACAGGCCTCTGCAGGCTGGCATTAACCGCTGTTTTACAGAGGAGGACACAAGCCCTCCAGCGGATGGGCTTGCGGAGAGTTGGGAGCTTGCGCAAAAGTCCTCTAAGTGCAGTCAGGACCCGAATGCAGGTCCAAGTCCAGAGCAAAAGCTCACCCCAGCAGTCACACTATCTGCCTCAGCCCTAGGTGAGACTAGGGCCTTCCTGTCCCCGTTTCATTACCTAGGACTGTAAGAGCTCCCACAGATCCCTCCCACCGGGTCGTTTCTTTGGTCTTGGTTTGAGGACAGGACCTGACCCCTGGTGGTAATTCCCAGAAGTGCAAGACCAACCTATTTGTAACAGCCTCTCTGAAGCTATCTGGGCATTGATAGGTGTAACCAGCAGCGAATGGGTCCACCCAGTGTCTCTCTCTCCTGTCTCCTGATGGCTCTCTCACAAGTTCATTTACTTTTAAGACATGGCCTTTTGGGGTAGACTAGAATACCCTAGAACTCACTGTGTAGCCCAGGCAGTCCCCAGCCTGTGGCAAGTCATTGCAGCTCACTCTTAAACAAAATCTGGGAGGTCAATCATAGTGGTGTACATCTGTAATCTTCATACCCTGGAGGCAGAGACAGTAGGATCAGGAGGCCAAGGCTAGCCTCTGCTACCCTGTAAGTTCCAAGCCGGCCTAGGTTATAGACAGCCTCCCCCTCCCCAACCCCGCACTGGAAATTCCCTATGCCGGTGATACAGGAAGTGACCTGTTTCCTTCAATGCCAAGAAGTCTCCAGCCTTCACTGGTGCATGAAGTTGGGCTCTCAAGCTCAGTTCTGAGCCAAAGGAAAAGCTAAACTACGCCACCACCGTTTCCTGGGTGCCAAATACTTGAACGGCTTCTCTTTGGAACCTTTAGCATGACCCTGTAAAGTCGGAGATTGAATGGGGTGCTGGCTTCCCCGCCAGCCAACAACTGGTTGTAGTCGTTCTTTGTCCACTGCTGTCCTGACAGTCTCCAACATTCTCTCTTCTCTCCCTCAGATTTTGTAGGCACCACAGTCAGTTCGGTGTTGCGACCAGGAGGTGATGTCTCTGGATGGGGAGTCCTGCCATGCCCTGTTGCTCATACACAGGGACCCTGAGAGCCAGAACTGTAGCCCAGGAGTTGGCCCGATCTCAGCATCTTTCGTCTGCTGCCCTCTCGTTCCTGCGGTCAAGCTCCGGACCCCAATCTCTGACTGCACACAGCTCCAGGCTTTGAAGAGAGGCGGGGGTGGGGTGGCAGCTTGGCGGAAGGCAGAGGCCCTTGAGGTCCTGATTCTGGTCCTGCCTCCTAAGGGAGCCTGGCTCTCCCTCTCTGGTCCTTCCGTTTCCTTCTCACCGTGTAGACTAGCTGGAGGTCCCTGAGGACCCCCGAGGAAGGAAGCTCTGCAGTGCGGGCTTCTCAGACCCCTTCAGTCTGGAAGGCTGCCTGCTGCGTCCTTGCCTCCCCAGTCCTGGTCTCCTAAAGAGACTCCTTCAAGACACTGCCCCAGGAGGGCCAGACTTTTTCCTACTTTATTTTTATTTGCTGATGATGGTCCCACCACATCTGCCACAAAGCTCCAGGTGCCACCAGCCCCACCCACGGGGCCTCTTCTGACTCCCTCATTCAAGCCTGCACCCAGCTCTCAAAGGAATCGAAGCCGTGCTGAGGGAGAAAAGATAGGGTCTTCCTTCCCACTGCTGGTAATCCCTCATCACCTCAGAGTCTGAGGGGAGACACAGGCTCTGGAGGCTGCGGGAGGAGGAGGCAGCTGATCACCGCAGCTTGAGTTTGCCAGTTTCCCAGCCTGGGACTGGCCTGGCCTCTTCTCTACTGGGATAGCTCATCAGTGACTGAGCCCTTGACTCTGGCCTGTTTTGTACAGCATAGACTTCTCGGGCCCATTGTCAGGGTCAGTGGCTGTGGAGAGGGGGCTCAGAGGTGGAGTTAGGGGATCCTCTCTCCTTCTCTCGCTTCCTACACCTCGGACATCTGCCAAAGGCAGGGACTGTCTTGCGTCTTTGATACTTTTCTGCTAACTTGAACTTGCAGGTCACCTCTGAACAGGGTACCCTTGTCCCCATCCCAGGCCCTGTTACTTTGTCCCTAACTCTTTCTCCTCCTTGCCCACTCTCGCCTTGCGATATGCCCAGGGTCTGCAACCTCATGGGCAGTGCTTGGAGTTGAGGTGTGTGTGTGCGTGCGTGCGTGTGTGTGTGCGTGTGTTTGTGTGCACACGTGCGTATGTGCGTGTATGCATGCGTGTGTGTTAGGGAGGGGCAGATGAGACGATCTCTCTTCTTCTCTCACCATGGGGCCTCCTCTCTTCTCTCATTAGCAGAGAGAAAATGAGGGAGATTCCAGGTGTTTTTTGGACCATCCTTGGTTACCTTATAGACCTGGTAGCAGAACCATCTCGTCATTGACAAGCCTTCTGTCCCCAATGGAGGGGTGGCAGACTAGCTGCATCTAGCATAATGCCTCCTGGGGCATGGCCTGCCGCGTGGTCCCTGTGTCGAGGAGTGTGTGGTCCCTATGGGCTCCACAGGGGGCTCATCACTTCCGTGTGTCATGTGGGCCTCAGCCAGAGTTGGAAGGGTGACTAGTCCACATATTTGCTGTCCTTGTGTTCACTTCCAAGCTCAGACTTGGAGCTGAGAGTTAGGATTCCTGAGCAAGACCCATGACCCAAGGCTGCCCCATTCAGACCCTGGCTGGAATCTGATTCTGGCTCCTGGAAGGATTCCTGATACCAGGCATTTTCCAGACCGCATCTCCACTTTTCCTCCTCTTTCCTCCAGGACAGACACCTCCTCCCGAGCTTTGGTGACTGCCCCGTGTCCCCCACACACACTTGTTCCCATCCAGTCCCCTCCTAGAGCCCCAGCACTGGAGCTGTCTTCTGCAGGTGGCCAGGAGACTGGGAATGAATGGGGTGGGGCTTGTATGAAGGAGAAGAGAGCAGGAGTCAGTTCCTCAGATTCAAACCAGAAGATAGGAGGGCAAGGTAGTGGGTGACAGATTGGGAACTAGGCAGGGAGGAAGCAGGAGCAGAGCCAGAGAAGCAAAGATGAGATGGGAGACAGGCATGGCAAGGGAGGGGCTGTGTGGTGCAGAAGGAGTTCAAGGAGGGATCTAGAGAGACACACAGTGATGGGGAAGAGAAGAATTGGAGAGGGGTTTCCGTGGAGTAGCGGGCAGTGGGTGAAGAGGAACAGGAAGTGGGAGATGGAGGTGTGGTTCGCAGTGGGCAAGAATAAAATGTAGAGAAGAGGGTCGGCAGGAGGAGGGGGAAGAAGAAATGCTGGAGGTGGGGCGAGGAGGGCAGCCATGTGGGTGCTTGAAGACTGTTCCCCTAAGGACACCTGCTGTCCAAGCCATCCCCCCCACCATGCTTTGGTGGACAGGCTAGAAACGACTCCGTGGAGGTCAAGGGACTGGAGGTCTGTGGTCCAAGCAGTTTTGTTCCTTTGTGGAGAGAGACTGTGTGTGTCTGTGTGTGTGAGCGCACGCGTGTTCGCGAGAATGTGAGAGTGTGTGTATGTTTGTGTGTGTGTGTGTTTGTATGTGCGTGTGCGCGTCAGCAGTAGGGTAACCACACGGGGGAGGAAGGAAACTAATTCCTTTTGGGGAGCCGTCTAACAGTGTTCCCATCCATACCGTAGCCAACCGGCTACTGCCCAGCAATTTGAGATCCATTGTGGAGTTTCAGGTTGGTGGGCTGAAGTCTGCAGGAGCCCCAGGATAGCACGGGGAAAGAAGAGAGGTAGTAGTACGGACCAAGTTGCGGTCTTGAAGACTGAGAAGCGGTAGGGACGGGGAGAATGGATGCTTTATTCAAGAGCTCAGGTGGGGCTCTGGCAGATCCGGCAGCTGGAGCAGCGCAGTTGGGGCAGGTGAGCCAGTGTTGGCCTTTGGAAAGGGACAGGCTAGGAAGGTCGACATCTCTGCTTCTGATCACCAACTAAGAGCTTCCTGACTTTAGGTCATTAAAAGTCCTCAGCCAGCTGTGGCTGGACAGCTGGTATTTCTTTCCTGTTTCTGACTTTCTTCACTCCTGGCAGAGAGTGAAGAAAGCAGCCATAACCTCGAGGTGGTCTGGTCTCTGATCCAAAACACTGGTTAGACTGGTCCTTGGGGCTGTGACAAGTAGAACTCACCTCTCAGAGGACCACAGTGTGGAGGAGGGCCTTCCGAGGACGTCAGGATGTGGGGGAAGATTGACAGAGCCAAGATGACGGCTGGCAGCTGGAGCTCTGGGGAAGGAGCCCAGGACTAAGGGTCCCCCTTGAGCACAGAGGGCACTAGGTCTTCTTCAGCCCCTGGTGTGGAAAAGGGAAACCCTCTTTTTGGAGGGGCAGGGCTCCTTCTAGTACAAGAAGTTTCTATGGGTTCTTGCCTGGCTCAGTCAGAGCTAGGGTAAAGGACTGGAGTTTTCCTGAGAAAGCGATCAGGAGCGGCCAGCCCTCCCTAGGACCCCGACAGCCCTCCGAGGCCCTGTGCTGGGTGTTAGGATAGATTGGTGTTGTCTACACCCCATTAGTAAGTTCTGTCTTGAATGTGTCCTTGATGTTCATTGTCCAATTTGGTAACATTTCTTTTGGTCCTGACCCCTTCTGCTGCTGCTGGATCTGAGCTTCAGTGCAGGTGGAATGATGTTCAAATAAAGACACAATTTATATCACCCATGCTGGCTGCTGCTCCTGAATCGAGGCCCAGGGCCTCATGAGTGGGATACAGCCCAACCTTTTGTACCAATGGCTGCAAATTCATGGAGCCCCAGTGCTCGCTGTGATTAATGACAGCTTCTGTCACAACAGCATAAAAAAGTTGGGCCTAGTGGGGCACGTGTGTAATCTCAGCACTCGGAAGACTGGGGCAGGAGGATTGTAAAATCAAGGCCACACCAGGCTACGTGAAGAGATCTAGTCTCAAGAAAGAAAAAAGTCTGGGCATTTCCAGAACATGGCCCGAGGTGCCGGTAGGAGTCTGGCACCACGTCTGTCTGTCCGTCTGCACTGTCACTTCAGCCCTCACTCCCATCCTCCAGAATCCCCCACAGTGGTCCGGGTGGGTGTGGAGGGATGGCTCAGCAGCGACGAGCGCTCTCTTGTAGAGGACCTGGGTTCCATTCCCAGCATCCACGTGCACCTGCAACTCTTGCTCCAGAAGAGCTGATGCCCTCTTCTTGTCTCCATGGACACTGCGTGTACTTGACATCAGCGCATACATACATGCAGACAAAACACCCTTGCAAGTAAAATTAAAATTAAAAAAAATTAAAAGCCAGGATTGCGGCATAGACCATTAATAAACCCTGCACTCAGGAGGCAGAGGCAGGTGGATCTCTGTGAATTTGGCACTAGACTGGTCTATATAACAAGTTCTAGACCAGCCAGGGCTACATAGTGAGAGCATGTTGAGAGAGAGAGAGAGAGAGAGAGAGAGAGAGAGAGAGAGAGAAAGAGAGAGAGAGAGAGAGAGAGAGAGAGAGAGAGAGAAAGGAGGGGGGAGAGGAAAAGGGAGGGGGATGGAGAGGAGGAAGGAAGAAAACCCAATACATTAATTATCTTCTGGTCCAAGGGGCTGCTGGTGCTCCAGTCTATAAGCCACTTGAAGCTGCCTGGAAATGCCACAGGACTGAGTCACCTGGCACACAGAGCTGAACGAGGCTGGGAACATTAGTTGGGCATGCTACCAACCCTTGTAGAACTGGGGTTCTGCAACAAAAGGCAGTGGCAGCCTGTATACACTCCCGTGGTACAGACTTGATTCTGTCCTCAGGACCTGCAGCAACCAAGGCTCCACTTTGGTTGTGTACCTGTGGGGACTTGGAGAAGTCAGATTAGCTCTTTCTAGAACAACACTGAGACAAGGGAAAAAGTAGAAGTCCACCCTGAAGAGACGAGAACTGCACCGCTAACCACGTTGCAGGAAATGGTAAGGTGATTAGGGAATGTAAGCCGTTAGGCACAGTGAACCACACATCGTAACAAGCACCCTAAGAACGCATCTGGATGTGGAGATAAACATGCCAAAATACGGTGGACTCTGCTAACAGCCAGGTATTTGTGGGTGCTCTGAGGGGAGCCACCTTACATGACTTCTGATGGAATGAGTGGATTCGGGTGACGTTATGTTGTGTGGGAACAGGAGCAGGAGAGGCCACGGTGGGAGAGAAGGCAGCTCAAGAGACAGGTGGGCAGGGCATATCCCTGAGAGACTGAAAGAATTGCTGCAAAGTTGAAGTATGGCCTGTGAGGTGTGGAGGGGTCAGATATAAACCTGGGGGTTAAGCTCAGACTCACAAACAGTGCAAGATTGCTTAATTATTGGGGGGCAAATAGATCAGGATCTACCTGAGTATCCCTGGCTGACCTGGAACTCACTATGTGGACCAGGCTGACCTGGAACTCACTATGTGGACCAGGCTGACCTGGAACTTGGAGATTCGCTTGCCTCTGCCTCCCAAGTACAAAAATTAAAGGTGTGCACCAGCACCCCTGGCAAGAATTGCTTGTTTGTGAGACAGGGTTCTGGTGTGTAGCCAGGGCTAGGCTGAACTCAAAGTAGTCTTTCTGCCTCAGCTCCTAAATGCTGGGATTATAGGTGAACGCTGATGTGTTAGTTACTTTCCTACTGTGTAAAACAGTGGGGTCAAGGCAACTTGCACAAGAGTGCATTTGGGGCTTAAGGCTCCAGAGGGTTGGAGTCCACGTTGGTGGGGCAGAAGTAGCAGATGGCAGGAGTCCAGAGCCGCATCTAAGGACATAGATCTTGAACTGCAAGCTGGACAGAGGATACAAGAGGACTGGCGTGAATTGTTTGAAACCTTCAACACACCACCTGTATCCTCTCCAAACAGCCACCAACTGGGGACCAAGTACTCAAATAGCTAAGACTTCAAGGAGACGCCTCACCCAAGCCACCACAGCCGCCATGTCTGGTTCACTTTGGTTGTGGTGATCATGAGTGGACCCAAAGGAGATAGTTTGGGAGGCTAAAGAGCTGGCTCAGCGGTGAGCAGAGAACTGGTTGTACTTCCAGAGGACCCAGGTTCAAGTCCCAGTACACACTCAGCTGCTCACATCTAATCACCAGTAACTCCAGTCCCAACACAGACATACATGGTGCATAGGCATACACGCAGACCAAACACTCACACCCATACAACAAAATAATAAATTAAAAAGTAAATTTAAAAATATTTTTTAAAATAAAAAATTTTAGGGCTTCTAGAGTGGCTCAGTAGTTTAAGAACACTAATTGCTCTTCCAGAAGACCTGGGTACAATGCCTAGGACCCACATGGCAGCTCACAACTCTGTAGGTTCTAGGGGTCTGACAACCCCACACAGACATAAACAAAACACAAATGCACATATAAAATCTAAATAGATAAGTTTTTGAAAAAAATAATATAAATAAATTTTTAAAAAGAAAGCATGTTTTGGCTGGAGAGATGACTCTGGGTAAAGGCATCTGCAGTCAAGTCTGGTGACCCATGTTGGAGCCCTAGGACTAACATATAGAAGGAGAGAACCACCTCCCAGAAGTTGTCATGTAACCACCACATGCGCACTGTGGCACACGTCCCCAACAAACAAACAAATAAATAAATGTAATTTTTTTAAATTATAATTTTTTTTAAAATTTTTTTTCGAGACAGGATTTCTCTGTAGCTTTGGAGCCTGTCCTGGAACTTGCTCTCATAAACCAGGCTGGCCTCAAACTCACAGAGATCCTCCTGTCTCTGCCTCCCGAGTGCTGGGATTAAAGGTGTGCGCCACCACCACGCAGCTAAAAATATAATTTCTTTATTGAGTCCTGGGGATTTCACCCCAACTTGGATGCATCTTAATTCTGCTCATTTTCCAGTCCCTCTATATCGTCCTCTCAGCTTCTCAGTGTCCCCTCAAGAGAAAATTAAAACAAAAATTTCAAACCAAACCACAGCAAAGCAAGCAAGCAAATAAACAAAAAGGAAAACAAAGCAACCCTAAACTTTGAGGTTGGTCAGAGTGAAAAGATAATGGTAGTGAAAGGTTCTAGATCTCAACCTTCCTAACACTGGGACCCTTTAACACAGCCCCTCATGTTGTAGTGACCTCCAACCATAAAACTATTTTCGTTGCTACTTCATAACTGTAATTTTGCTAGCTGTGAATTGTAATGTAAACATCTATGTCTTCTAATGGTCTTATGCAACCCTGTGAAAGGGTCAGATGACCCCCAAAGGAGTCTTGACCCACAGGTTGAGAACCATTGGTCTGGAGGATGTAGTAAAGGACCCAGAGCCTCAGGAGGGAGGAGATTTTAATCTTGTAGACAAGATGCAATTATTGGAGAATTTCCAGTGAGAACATTGATACAATCAGATGAAGGGGGCTAAGCAGTTATTGAAATGACCTGCGAGAATGAAGAGGTGCATATCTGCAATCCCATCTATACTCCAAGGGAGGTAAAGGCAGGGGAATCATGAGTTCAGGGTCATCCCTGGCTAGTGAGAAGGAAGCCAGCCTCAACTACAAGAGATCCCCCCATGTTGCGGGAGGTCCTCCCACTCCCAGCCTATCACCGCTGAGGTACCAGCCCATTGGGGCGTGGTTTCTCTCCCTTTAAAAAAGCGGCCACTTCCCTCTCCTCTCTCTCTTCACTTCCTGCTCCGCTGGCGACTAGACTCCTTTCCTGGTTGCGTAGAGGGCTGTTGCCTGGGACAGTGATCTTTTTTAACATCTACTAAGGCACTGAAACAGGACCATGTTTTCACCGTGACTCTGCAACAGCGCCACCTGCTGGATAATAGGTAATATGGCAGTTTTCATTTCTAACGCAAATTTTACTGCTTTGTTTTCACTAATACAATGGATTAGTAAACTTATATTTACTAATACAATGAATTACATCATACAAGGTTTATATGATTATGGGGATAATTTGCTTGTTACTAGGCTTCAGTTTTCTTTTCCATATTCTATCATTAAGGAAGAATATGGCACTCCTAAGAACGATTGAATCTTTACATACTAATAATGAACAGAAGAATATGGCACTCCTAAGAACGATTGAATCTTTACATACTAATAATGAACAGAAGAATATGGCACTCCTAAAAACGATAGAATCTTTACAAACTAATAATGAACAGAAGAATATGGCACTCCTAAGAATGATAGAATCTTTACGAACTAATAATGAACAACTAATTGACAGGATTAAAATTATTGAAAATCAGAGGTTATCTGAACAACTGGATACTATGACAGACAAAATTGATTCCATATCCAAGGGTATTAGAAAGTTACCTGAAAGGGTTCAGGCTGTTGAATTTGACCTTCAGACTTTATCACAAAGTTTTGATAAGGTAACAGACAGAATGTACCTCCAAGATGGGAATCTACATGATATACAAGAAAAGTTTAAGGAGGACATGTTATCTTTGAAGGAAAAAATTAAAGCTTTGGAATCACAGGTGCAGAATGGGGACCAAAAAATTGATACCTCAGTGAAATCACTGGAAATATATACAGGTCAGGAGATTCAGGATTTAAGAGAGACAATGATAAAAAGATTTGAAAAGATTGGGGAAATTATTGCAGCTGGTGAACAGAGTAAGGAGGCACAAGGACAGGATACAATGCCTCCACCAGCTATTAGAACTGGCTTACCCAGGGTTCTAGCG